CAGGGCTGGACTCTGACCCTCAAACTTCTTTTCCCTTGGTTCTAAACACAACCCAAGAAGAAATAGGAAAGTTATCATTGGAGTTTGCAATGCTGTGAAGGCTCTTGACCAAAATCCCCCTTCCCATTACAGTTAGGTACACCACAGGCACAAGGCCTCTGCCACTTCCCCCTGAAAGGGCCTGCACACAGAAATCAGCTCCCTGTAAATGGCCTCTCACTGCTCTCTGAGGGCTCTGACTGCCCAAGCACTTAATACATAATTATGAGTGATGAGCATTTTAGGCCCTGGATAGGCTGGAGAGGTATAGGGGAGGGGGGTCCAATGAGCAGCAGCCATGTGACGTGTGTGTGTGTGTGTGTGTGTGTGTGTGTCTGTTTGTGTAACTGTTCCATGCACCAGTGCTTGCCTAACTTACAAGTGTTTTCTCTCTCTCTTTTCAGTTCCTATTGATTTTGGGTAGATGAGAGAATGACCAACCTGTGGCAGAGACCAAAAGGAGCAGCCACCCTGAGACCATCCAGGGAGATGGAAACCAGACAGTGATCTGTGGAGTCAGAGTAAATAGAAATTTGCATAAGTTACGTATTGAGGGAGGACTGCAAGAACTCTTGTCAGCATGGGGTGGGTCTCTGAGAAAAGGCCTTTGCAAGGACTTGTCTGGTGCTATGGAGTCTTCCTGAAGCACGGTAACTATGTGGAGGGCAACTTGCCTGTAACCAGAGATGCTCAGTCCTCAACTCTCTTCCTTCTACATCACTGAGTGAGCTTTCCTGGTCATGCCACTCTAGTCCTCCTCCCTACCGACTCTGGCTTGCTTCAGAGGATGTGAGCGGGGTGACCGAGAGTAGCCCTTGGTCCGTGTTTCTGCTCACAAGGGTGTACCACCCAGGGCAGGTGTAGGGTCCAAGGCTCAGCACAGCATCCCGGACTGATGTGCTCTGGCCTGGGTTCCTGAGTCCTGCTCCCCGAGGGCTGTGCTGGCCCCGTAGCTGGACCCCGCACCAGGGAGGCTCTTATGGGCGGTGAGCAGTTAAAGGGCAGTAGGGAGCTGAGGAGCAGCCACAGCCCGGGGGTCCCAAGCAGCAGGAGGACAAGATGGGGAAGCTCTGCGGCTGCCTGCACTCTGACATCAGCTAGTGCAGCAACTGCTTCACCCTGGCCGACTCTGGCTTCTGGCCTCTGGCATGGCCATGGGCCATGGCCTTGGAGGAGAGGAGGCAGGGCTGGCACTTCACTGAGGAGGAGCAGGGGGTGGAGCCACAGGAGGGGCAGGGCCTCATGGCAAGGAGGGTTGCAGCTGCCACCATTTTCTGTCTTACCCTCCGCCACCAGAAGAGGCTGGCGCTGCCCACTGCTGACCAAGGGGTGTTACTGTTTTTTCTGAGAAACACTCTGTGCATTACTTTTAGTTGCCACTGGGTGTCACCGCTGCTCCATGGAAGGGACAGTTCATGCAGTTCTGACTAGCCGGCGGTGTCACTGCTGCTCCTGAATAAACAGTCTGTGCATTACTCTGAGTGTCCACTGGGTGTCACTGCTGCTCCAGGGTAGATGCAGTCTGTGCATTATCCTGACTGCCCACCTACCGGGTGTCACTGCTGCTCTGGGAACTTCACCAGTGCATTACACTGACTGGCTTCTAAGATAAATGTGTGGTAAAGACTGAGTACAGACTCCTGCTTCCCTCTAACTGCAGTTTGGTTTCTAATAAAAGGTTTCCTGCTCATTCTGGGTGCAGGGAGAGAATTTCCCCATCTTGGGAGTTTCTGATCTCCTGTCTGCATGTCTGCATGTCCTCCTGAGCAAAGGTCTGGAACCAGGAAGGTGACTACAGGTGTTGAGTTTGTTCTTCCTTCATTACATCTCTCTAAGGTGTTGGCCAACATGCTCTCTCTTCTTGCCTGTTGGTCTACAGCCTCCCTTCATAGACATGTTCACCTACATGTGTCCAGTGGTGATTGAGACATAGACATCTATAGTTCTCTGTACAGATTTTGTGTGTGTGTGTGTGTGTGTGTGTGTGTGTGTGTGTGACGAAGGTAACGTTAAAGT